GGTTTTCTGTTAAGTCCTATATGGATAAAGTTGTCTTAATGGATTAATCTGTTTGTATAAACTGCAAAGGTTTTTGTTTGGGAGGGGTTTTTCATAGATGGAAGGAATGTGTTCTTTTMTTGGGATGGGCAGATTTAGAACAAACTTGGCTTTCTGCGTAAAGCTCCCCCTAGAAGCTTACTGAATAAGCCACTTTTTATATCATTAAGCCACTAACAAATAGTCATGAGCTGCTAACAAACAGGCCTTAAGTTAAATTTGATTAAAGTTGGACAAAAATAGTGATATGATTATGCGAGCACWTATATGTAATTGATGAATGTTTTTGTTTGAATATGCTTTTAAATCTTAGCTTACCTGGTATTTTCACTTTCACACACCTCACACTAGAACAACCCCTTTACTTTTTAGGGGTATTATATATATATATATATATATATATTTATATATAGGGTATATTTCTTTATATATATATATATATATATATGTGTGTGTGTGTGTGTGTGGGTATAGGGCCAGGTTGAGAGGAAAACTGCAAAAAGAAAAAAAGAAAAACTGAGGAACACCCTGGTAACCGTTCATCTTTCATCTAGAGAGTATGCACATGTGCATACAAGCAATTTGTCCGGTATTATGCACATGTGGATAAAWCCAAAAGACAACTTCAATCATTTTTATGCATATGTGCATATCATTCAGATGAATGGTTACCAAGATGTTCCTCAGTTTTTCATTTTTTTATAGGAGGTCAGGTTCAGGGGAAAACCGCAAAAAAAAAAAAAACTGTGGAAGATCCTGGTAATCGGTCATCTGGATGGTATGCATATGTGCATACAAGTAATTTATTCGTTTGGTAGAGGCAGGTCCTCTTCCAGGGGGCGGGGTGTGGGGACCCACCTCTGGGTCGGATATGTTGGGCTTCTTTGGTTTGGTTTTTATAGTCATTGAACTGCTTCTAACCCATTTTTCCTTTTGATCTATCAGGATATCCTGGGATGCCTCCAATGGTCGCACCACCTGGTGCTCCATCCATGCCWGGTCAGGTCAACCCATCCATGGCTGGCCAGGTTAATAATGGTGCACCAAGGCCCATGATGGTTAATGCTTCAATGATGGCCCCAGGGAGCTCAGGTGCACCTGGTCCAATGTTTACACCGGCCATGTATCAAATCAATCCATCACCAACAGCATCTGGAGATATTGAAAGTCCAAATGTCAGTGCCCAACCACAGGAATCTGACCATTAATCCTTTAGAAACCATGGGTTTTGCAAATTATCAACAACTTGTTCGATAAATATGTTGTAAAATACTTTTTCTTTTTGTTGACGATATGAAAAAAAACGTTTATATGTAGCTGCTTAAGAAAGGAACTCCGTCAAAAYGGTAGCACGAGAAGAATGGAAAACCTTGCATCAAATGTTGATCATGGTTGGCCATAGAGATGGGTGAACCGGGTAATTGAGCGGGCATGTAACTGATTACGACCAAGCCGAGCTAAGAAGAGCGGTGGACGTAAACGGGTTAGGTCGGCCCCGGTTATAGCTGGTTATGGTTTCCCATAGGGGCAAATTGGGTAATCGGGTGGGCATGTAACTWGTTACATCGGGCCGAATTAAGAAGAGCAGGGGATGACCAGTTAGGCCGGTCTTGGTTATAGCCGGTTATGTTTCCTAGAGATGGGCAAACCCGCATGTAACTGGTTAAGACCGAGCCGAGTTAAGAAGAGCGGTGGACGTAACCGGTCAGGCCGGTCYTGGTTTTGGTTATAGCCGGATATGGTCGGGGTACCCATTTTTATTTATTTATTTATTTTAAATTTCTATATCTTCCTTTTTTATGCATAAGATAATAAATATATATTATAATTAAATGATAGAGTATACTCAAATGAAATAAGTATTTATTTATTTAGTTACAAATAACAAAAATTGAAAAAAATGCAAAATTAAAAAATAGATGAAAAATGCTCACAGTTTTTATCAAATAACATATGGTTTTCAAAAGGGTTAACCGATTGGGTGACAAGACCCGATCGGTTTAGCTGTAATCTGTTAGGGTCTATGCTCGGTTTTGGTTTAACAGGGTCTGGTTACGAAATCGGCATTTTGCCCATTTCTACTTGGCCATACRGATTGGGATTGAGACGAAAAAGTAACGATTTTAACTTGTTTCCTATTTTAATACCTAAGGTGTAAAGTTTTAAACATTTAAGTACTCGAGTAAATGCTGATGTGACGAGTGATGTGATATCCAACTTAATATAAAATTTTATTGAATTTTAAATTCAAAAAGTAAGTCAAATTATTCGTTGCATTAACATGGTAACCGATTAATATTTCAACCGGTTATCCRGGTACTTAATTGTTTAACACTTTACATCTTAAGTACCAAATGAAAGTTGAAAGTATGTTATTCAAAATAAAAATAAAGTTAAAATACGCTACCTTTTCATACAATTCACCTTTAAAAGAAGAGAAAAATGCATTTAATTGAAGTCGGTATATATTTGTGATGTGTGATTTTCTACTTCTTAACCAATCAATGTGTCACTTGTTTTGTTTTCATATATTCTGTTCGTCAACCGTTTTAATAGTGTCCGAATACTTTTTTGGTCCATCTAATCAACTCCTGTTAAAAAAGTTTGTTTTGGGGGCCGTTTATTAAATGCTCACCAGACAAATTTTCTCGCTAGATGAATATGGCAAGACCCAATAAGCTTATYTGGTAAGAGCGAWGATAAKAATAGAGAGTCTTACCGGGTAARTGAGRGTRACGACTCTTACCCGGGTAAGCRCTTACCATATATATTGTTGCACACGATACCATTTTGATATACTACAATCTTACCTAAAAATTAAATTATAGTGTTRACTCCCAACGATAAACGCTTAMCGGGTAAGCATTTAGGTAAACAACCCCTAAGTCTTTTCCATTTTTGTTTCGTTTTTCCTTCAAAGCTGGAAAAAAAAGCAAAATAGTCAACTTTTTAACATAAATTAGTTGATAGGACCAAATAYGTAACAAAGAGACAACGACAATAACTAACAGTGTAACAAAGTGRCATAAAAYCGTATTATATCGATCAAATAAAAAAAATAAAACGAAACATTAAAATCAAGATCTATCTCGCTGCACCGTACGAGTACCCTTCTAGTTTTTTCAAAATAAAGACGAGATTTGGTAGTGGGGCGTAACCACATGGACCGAAGGTGTAATTTACTCTCGTTTTTGGGTTAAATTTGTCAAATATTAAAAGTTGAAGGACTATTTGGGTAACTTACCCTAAACTTACTGAGCAGAGCGGATAAGGCGACTCAACTATATCTCCATTTACAACAACAGTGACAGTGTCTCTTTCTCTTGACTCTCCGCAGAACCTAGGGCCGCCGTGAAGGATGGCGATCACYGTCGCATCTTGCTGGTTTAATTCGCTCGCCTCCACCGGCGCTTCCCGTTATACGGTCTCCTCCCAGCGTCTATTCTATTCGTCGCAAAYATCGGCTACTCGTTTAGTCATTCCCAGAGCTATTAGCCAGAGTCAAAATCCGAAGAAGAGAACTCCCAAGGAAAATACTCATAAATCATCATCTGAGGTATATTGAATTRTTAAACATCATGAATTCAGTACCGTAACTTATGCGTGAAATGTATTTGAGTTTGTTGATGTAATCTGTTGCTGTAAGTTTTGTCGTTGTTATGGTGGTCTATTTACTCGATGAGTTTTTGGTCGTAGACTTTGTTAGATGATTAACTAATTTTAATCATTCAATTTATTTATGTTTCGTTCTGTAACTGGTGAGGYGTTCACATTAATGGAACACCTTAGTTTTCGTGATCTAATGCAGCCAACAGCTAACGGTTTGGTTCAATTCATTGTTATCAAGGTCTTGCGTGCACAATGTTTTAGCTGCTTGAGCTTTAKCGAAAAGGAATTTTTTGAGCTAATAGTTGTTTTCTTCTAAAGTACAACTTGTAAGAACCTTGTGTGATATTGTGAATGCAAAAACACATCTCCCTTAGTTGTATACTTTTGATTGTTGCTTGTTCTTTTTTATATTTTAAACTCCATTTTCAGTGTGCCAGTCTTAGTTAGTTGTTTATTTTGATGTGTTACGTCCAGAAAGAAGCTAATTCCCAAAAGTTTTCAAGAAGATCAAGAGATGAAAGACAGTATTCAAATGCTGATGACCACAGTGGTATAAATAATGCAGAACAACCTCAATCAACAGCCTCAAAGTCGTTTGGTATGCAGAGAAAAAGCGCCAAAGGTTTTATGGGTAACTTGAAGGATCAACAGGTATCRAGGGATCTCATTCCTGTTCATGATTCGATTCTTTTCTCTTATCATGATGAGACTTCATGTTGGATTCATGGCAATTGCACATTATCATGTGGCAAACTTTTAACTCTTCCATTATGTCCATACAAATTTGCTAGATATAAATGCAGGGTGATTGCATTTCTGCAAGAATCCTCATCCCTTGTCCTTAACATTGCCAGATGCATACCTTATACCATATACATTCTGTCATTTATYTTTTCCATATTCACTTTTTATTCCTATTATTTTTGTTTAATTATTATATTACATGCCTCAAAAGATTTTTATGATATTACTGGCTTCGCCATTGCGGTAGAATTACTTTGTTGCGACTTTTCGTATCTTTGTGCAACCAAACTTGGAAGAGAATCTGAGTTGATTTTTGTTGAACGGCAGTGCGTGATAGGCTGCTTCTATTATTTATTTTTTAGGTTTGGTGGTGGTTCTCAATGCAACCATTCATTTTTTCTGATCCATGGTCTGATACGGAATCTTCTGCTATCTGTTATTCTGTTGGATTGTTCGAATACACCAAATTGGTTTCTCTTCTAAGGAACCACAGTTATATGATTTGCCTGCTGTATTTCTGAACATTTCATATCTAAGGTGCATCATCGAAGGCCCAATGGTTTGACTCCATTAGCTGTAAAAGTTATCCCTAATTTRCTGCAAGCTTAACTACTTTCTATTCCAGGTTGAGACCGCTAAGCTTCAAGATGCCTCCTTTCTTAATGCTGTTGTTAAGGTAAATATAATATGCTAATATACTTGARCTTTTTAAACTGAACCCTTTCATAAATGGTAAAACCGTATCAATTTTGCTGTAAATTGTTATCTTACGCTCCCTGCATTAATAAATAGATTTTCTTTTGCATCACGCCAAAGATACCAAGGATATCTCAGYTTTTTGGCTTTGGTTACAAAAACCAAAGATAAACACATTCTACTAAAACTTAGTTCTCTCATTTATATTGGAACAAGCAAAAACTGATATCTTATTTCATATGGAATAGAGGGAGTATCTCTYTACATGTACATAAATGCAATTTATGCCAACATTCTTGTTGTTCTTATTGCTCACCATGGTTAGTTGCTAATATTGTCGTGTTTCTTTGTTTTCCTTAGGTTTATTGTACTCATACAGCACCTGATTATTCCCTCCCTTGGCAAAAGCAAAGGCAGTATACAAGTACAGGAAGGCATGTATTAGYTCATATAGCTTTCTAGAGATAAAAGTGCTATTAGGAGTGCAATTCATATGCAAATTGTTATCATTATTTCCTTTGTTTGTATTCAAGSGGTTTTTTCTCATTATGACATTGTTAACTTTTTCATTGTTGATGCAGTGCTTTCATGATTGGTGATGGAAAGCTTTTGACAAATGCTCATTGTGTTGAACACAACACRCAAGTAGGTTATTTCACTGTCCTTTTTATTGACAGTGATATTTTGAATTCAAACCAGGTTACTTAGAATGAGTAGATTATCTAAAAAAAGCTTTGAAAAATTCTTATATTTCTTGTAMTTTGTAGTAAAAGTTAGCCAGCCATATTGTATTGGTTCACAAAACTTAAGAAACATTTTCAGACTCCACTTTCTTCTAGTACAAGACCCAAGAAATAGGAGAGTTATCTATAAGTGCATTACTTTTATTTTTGCATGGTAACCTCATAATGCTGACATGTCATTATATATCGGGCCTGCGATTTGGTTTATGTGCTGTTCACATTATGATATATACTGAATGAAAGTACCATCAAATGAATGCATAAAAGTTATATGAAGTCTTGAATGTTGGTCTGATTCTCTGTATACTTTTGTATTATGTCTATAACCCGATAAAATTTTCTTSAGTTCTATTATATGATTTCACAGAAGAGGCCAATGTTCTTACTGCTCAGTATCGTTGTATATATTGGTTGCAGGTCAAAGTCAAGAGAAGGGGGGATGATACCAAGTATGTGGCTAAGGTATTCTTATCAATAGGATAGAGGAGCATATTCGTACATTTCCTGTMAAAAATTAACATGATTTCAATAGTTATTTCAAATCACCTGGTCATTAAACCTCAGTGTGTGGGGGCTCATTTCAGGAACAAAGGATGAACTGAATAGCCACTACTAGAGCAATAGAATAATGTACTACTTGGACTGGTTTACCTTTTAGTTTTGCAATGTGATGCTTCGTCCCTTGCATTGGGCATGGGCACAAATGCTGAAATGCATGCCTGCTCCGTTAGACCGCCTCCCTTATGCTCGTCATATTTGATCATGCTGGTGACGTTGATGTCATTTTGCTAGGCATCCATGCAATCCTTAGCAGTAATTGTCTGGTTTAAGCAATTGTTTTTCACATAAATCTTTGGCACCAGAAATATTTTTAYAGTAAGCTTCTCATTTTATTATCAACCAATCATTTTACAGGTTTTAGCTAAAGGTATGGAATGTGACATAGCTTTGCTTTCAGTGGAAAATGAGAAATTTTGGAAAGGAGCTGAGCCACTTCAGTTTGGTCATTTGCCTCGTCTTCAGGTTGATTTTCCTGCCCACTCCGGCCCCCTATGAATYAATGGAGTTTATTTATCTGCATTAATTGCTGGTTGATGCAAACGATCTTTATCCATCTTATGGAAGGGTATAGTAAGTTTGCTTAAATATGTACTAAGGATTGCATATCATCGGGGAACAAGAATCTTGAGCATAAAARTGCAAGTGGTAGGTTATAGGCTGCAAGTACCCTTTGCACCTGCATCAAGCATCGCAAAGAATGAGCAAAAGGGGGCTGCACCACAACCTAGTTAGTTTGAACTAGGTAGTGTCTTGAGCTCCAGAATAGCTGTTGGTGAGTGTAGGTCAGGGAACAAATGCATAATAATAGCATAAAAGATTAGCAACTTGGGAATGCAAATAAAAAGCRTTTACACTCCATGCTGATTCAATGATCAGAAGCCTATTCATGAATSGATTTTTCTCAAAGCACTGTAGTCTGTAATATTAAACAGGGATAAGTTTATGCAGTGTAGATAAATAAGATAGCTCAATGTAAGCTAATTATTGCTACTTAAGAATTTATAATTGCATGTTAACAACTAGTAAAGGGGTGGGCTTGTCTGAGATGATGKTACTAATTCATAAATGTTTTAGAAATGTTAATTGGCTAGGGGGCAAGGTGGAGAAAAAAGATGCATCACTTTAAGTTGCATTATAGTGAATTGGATCACCTAAGCCATTTCATCCTTTTAGCCTTGCACCAAAATTAAGTACCTGTACTATTCCCTACATTAGTTGCAGATAGTCTACAAGTACATCTATCTTAATAAATTGCTTTCCATGCTGTTTTCTTTGTCTGTGGATTTTGGCTTCTTTCTTTCCAACTTCGGTTTATTAACTATTTGAACTAGTCCTTATTCAGATGAATATTTAGTGAGGATATTGATGAGCAGTCATTAAAATTTTCAGCAGTCGTATTCATGGTAGCTAAATGTCCACAACTCCACACACCCTCTTCCTCGCACAATCATGCCCACAAAAACAAATACAAGAGGCATGCTATGCAGCAGGATCAGCACTCCGTATAATGTCTTTTCATTTGAGGGACCTTGAAGAAACAACTTTTATCCTGAATTCCTGCCGTAGTTTTTTTTTCCAGATCTATAAAAATTTCTAGGAACGTGACATTTGAAAATTTGACTGAACCAACAGAAAAAAAGAACAAAGAAAAGTTTATATGGTTTGTGTTCGTAACTAAAAACGTTTCCTCTACAGGACTCGGTTACTGTTGTAGGGTATCCACTTGGAGGAGACACCATTTCAGTGACCAAGGGGGTTGTATCTCGAATAGAGGTTTGTTTTGCTATATGTTCTTACTGATTGTAACTTTTGCTCGATCTCCCGTGTTTACTTCATATACACGGTGGCCTTTGACAGGCTTGCTAAGTTGCTATTTTACCTGCTGGCGTACATTTTTAATTCACTTGATTTTTCTTGCTCAAAAAAGAATCCCGTTAAACAAAAATAAAAGGAAATTTACAGAATGAAGGATGTGTGCATGCCACTTCATGAACAAAAG